TACTTAAGGATATAAAGCTGACTTCAAACATCTCTACAAATCAGAAAGAGAGCAGTAGTGGACCTTGCACAGTAAGGCCTTTTTCCTTTTTGTTCCTTTGCCATTGATCTGATTCATATAACTTAACAATAAAATAGCTGCTTCTCTCCTATTGGAATGCTTTGTAGTGGTACTCTGCATAATTATGTTCATTTTTTCTTTCTATTCCATCTACCTTGATTGTTTAATCTTTTGCAACTCTGCAGTGTCTTTTCCCTTTGCTTTTTTTTTTCAAACACCCCCCCCTTTTCAAAAAAAGTTGTTGCAAACGCGAAATGAGTATATTTAGTCTAGGCGTTTCTTTAATGAGATATATTTCATCTGTGCTATAGGATATAATGATCCTGGTTTTTGTTTTGTGGTATGATTTGTTCTTTGACCTTGTAGTTTTTCTTTTTTGTTACTTTCATCTGTGCAAACAGAACTTTTCTTCTTTCATGATGCTACCATAACCAGGGCTCCTGTCATGGTATCATGGATAAATCCGTAGTTCAAATATTCACTTCCTCTTAAGGCATTGATGTAGTATACAATTACAATATGCATGTGTTGTTTATAGATCCCTTAATTGGAACAGACAAGAAAGAAATCGATCTCTCCTTAGAATTGCTATCCAGGAACTTGTCTTCATTTCTCTTCTCTATCCTCACTACCCTTGTCTAATTGCCAACCATGGCACCTAGATGCTGGATGTGGAGGGGCCCAAGCTTGCTGCTTCAACATGCTTGCATTCTTTGTAGCAAAGCTGGCTCACATCATATTCCTTATGACATGTATTTCAACCTAATTATCACTTTTTTCCTGGGAATGGAAATGATTCAACCTTTTAATTTGTTCACATTTTTGTCTGTCTTTGTTTTTTGCAGAACTTCTTTTCAATGCCAGGAACTTTTTAACATCGCATGATATTTAATTCTTGCCTTGTCTTTGGTTGATTTGATATCAAATCTTTTACCTGGTAGTATTGTGGACTAAAAATACAATTCTGGTCTTGTTTGGAAGGCCTGGGATGACCCAAGAACCTAGAGTATCCACATGGAAATTATTGAATTCCACTTGGATGATAATTTATGTAGTCACTATATGATAATTTTGTTCAAGTATATTCATGTTTTGTATTTCTCAGCTGTAGGTTTTGTATATATTTGCACAAACCTGCCTGTGTATATATATATTCTGGCCTAGAGCCCTCATAATGGATACAAATGATATTCATAATATGGTAAATTATTCACCTTATTTTTAACACCAGTAGCCCTTTATCCATGCAGGTAATTTATGTAGTTTGCCCATTTCCAGAACCTTGTGCAATTCTGCAGACGTTAGTAGAATGTTCCGTTGCTCTTGGGTATGTTATTTCATCCCCGGAAAGGGAAAGAAAGTCGCTATATTCGCAGGTTGCCAAAGCCCTAAACAGCAGTGCCTCTGCAGATGAAGCATCAGCATCAAATGTCGTTATGCTATCCGGGTTCAGTATACCTAAGCTCGTCTTGCAGATTGTTACTATTGAAACTGTACTGAGAATTGATAAGCCAAGCAAGGAGCTTGCTGTTTTGAAGGACATAGCATTCACAGTGTACAACAAGGCACGACGAATCCCACGGGCTGTCTCCACAAGCGACATGTTTCAGTCACCAACTTATTTGGGTAGAGCTCAGTCCACAATGATGCATGTTACATCACCTGCTCCTACTCTTTGGAAAGAATGTTTAGTTCCTCGAATGTCTGGGCCAACTCTCTCTCGAGAAACAGATTTTGATGCATCCATGAGGTCGGCAACATGGGATAACTCATGGCAGCCTGCTCGTTCTGGAGGACTGCTGGACCCAAGTAAGATGCCAGATTTATGTGCTCAGGATGATAGAAAATATGCCTTTGAGCCACTTTTCATACTAGCAGACCCTGGGTCTGCTGATCTTAATGCTTTAATGGAACCGTCAAAATCTGGAGCAGATACAGGTGGCAGCAGGGTTTATGGCTCAATGTCAGGAAGTAACTCTGATAGTGGAGTGAGCCCTCTACTCGATGTATCTGAGAGTGACAGTGCAGCAAGTCTTCATTGCTGTTATGGTTGGACTGAGGACTGGCGATGGTTAGTATGCATTTGGACAGATGCTAGAGGAGAATTATTGGACAGCTTAATATTTCCTTTTGGTGGTATTAGTAGCCGCCAAGACACTAAAGTTCTCCAAAGTCTTTTCATCCAAATTCTACAGCAAGGTTGTCAAATAATGTCGTCTTCACCTGAGGCTAGCAATATGAGACCACGAGATGTCATAATAACACGTATTGGGGGTTTCCTTGAACTTGAAATTCAAGGTACTCACTTATTTTATCAGGCACTCAGATACCTTTTGTTTTGAGACTAATGTGATTATCTAATGTGTTTTGTCTGCAGAATGGCAAAAGGCAATATACTCTTTTGGCGGTAATGAAGTCAAAAAGTGGCCTGTGCAGTTACGGCGATCCATACCTGAGGGTATTCCACCTAGTTCAAATGGTCCTACACTCCAGCAGCAAGACATGGCCTTAATTCAAGATAGAAACATTCCTTCCTCACCAAACCCTCTGTACAGCCCTCATTCAAAATCAAGCTTCATGAAAGGTGCACTTGGACAATCTGGCAACAAAAAGCAGATACTTGTGGAACAAACTGGAATGGACACTTCAAGGGGATCACTGCACCTAGTTCGCAGCATCAGTTTGGTTGCAGTTTCACAAGATCATTCGTTGCATCTCACATGCCAAGCGGACCTGTTGACCAGACATGCTTCTGGTAAGAACCTCCTGTATATAGACCATCGTATATATTAAAATACTCCAGAAGATATCACTTTATGCCCATTTGATCTGGATATCTATTCAGTGATGCATTTTGTTCCAACACAGATTAATTACTTGTTACTTATTGACCACTTAAAAATAATTTCAACCTACAGCAGTTTATCACTACATGAGCATAGCCCTTTGTTTGCAAGGAAATCAATAGTAAAAGATTTAAGCTTGTCAAATTGTGGCCCTTTTTACAGGCGAAGGGAATCAAGGCAGCAGTGGCCCTTCGAGTTACTTGGAAGGTTTCACTCCAGTGAAGTCCATTGGGTCAATGCCAGCATCACACTCATATCTCCTAGTTCCTTCACCAAGTATGAGATATCTTTCTCCTGCAACATTACAGCTCCCGACATGCCTCACATCAGAATCACCACCGCTTGCCCATCTATTGCACAGCAAAGGGACTGCAATTCCCTTAGCAATGGGTTATGTCATCTCCAAAGCCGTCCCACCTGTAAGGAGGGACTCTGCACAGCTCACCAAGGATGAACAACCCTCTGTTCTCTCAGTTAGCATCATTGATCACTATGGAGGCAGCATTGCCACTGTTCAAGAAAAGATGAGCCGAGGTGGTGGTGGCAGCAATATGAGCAAACAGGCAAGGAACTTCACTCAGGAAACAACAACTCGAGACTGTGAGATGGAGATGCATAATGTGCTGGAAGCTGTGGCCGCGGAGCTTCACTCCCTTTCTTGGTTGACAGTAAGCCCAGTGTACACAGAAAGGCGCACTGCCCTGCCCTTCCACTGTGACATGGTCCTAAGGATGCGGCGGCTTCTACACTACGCTGATAAGTATCTATCTCAACCAGCAGAGAAGGGAGAGACAACTTAGAGGGGTGACTAATTGTCATGTAGCTGTTAAACAGGAAAATTAGGGCTGGATGGTGCTCAGATTCAAAGTGTCTCTGTGTATGTATCTAGGTAGGTAGGTAGGTGAGGGCACATTGACGAGCTTTGTAGCCTGATTTTGCATTGATAGTACTTAATAACCCTGATTTGTTGGGCCGAGGATGTAATCAACTGTACAGAACAGGTCGATACCTCTCCCTTGATTAAATGTAATACTGCTGTAACCTTCTCTCTTTTTGGTCGTGTCCTTGTATATTGAGGTATTGGTTTCGGGAATGCTCACCTCTTGTTTAGGGTGTGCTGTTGTTTTTCTTTCTCCTGCACTGCTGGCTGTATATTGGAAGCTGCAAAAACCTGTGAAGGCTTTATTGTGGGACAAAATTTGAACCTTTACGTGGTGAGTTTTTTTTTTTTTTTTTGGGTGGGTAATCCTGTAAAACATGCATGAATGAACTTGTTTTCCTTTTCCTTTTCCTTTTCTTTTTCTGAATTTAACTTGACTAAAACTTCTGAGTTGATAATGTTGACACCTCTCGTATTCTGAGTCTGATATAATTGGAAAACTCAAGTGTCCACACACGTAGAAATACATAATACTGCAAAGATTTACAGAGACATTATTTGCAGCATTAAAAAAAAACAGCATCCATATAATAGTAGATCGCTGTGAACAGGTCTGTTTGTTTGTCAACCGGTGGTTAGATCAATGTGTACACAAGATTGAGATATGATTCCGTTTGTTGATTGGTGCCCTAATAAGTCCTTCCTGACTGGCCATGCGTAATTTATAGATGGATCTTCCAAACATATTAATGTTTCCTTCTACAGTGTTCACTGGGATAGCGTGCATTGCTGATTGCCCTCTGTGAGGAGGTTTTGTTTTTCTTTAAAAGTAGTTTAGTAACAGCTTGTAATCGGATCCAAAAGTTCAGTACTGGAATTTCTTCAGAGCAACATTATTATGAGATAAGCACCTTGCTGTAATCGGGCCTCGACTGCCTGTTGCTGTACTTGTAAAATCATCTCCCCGCTACAGCTGCAAAATACTCATAACTTGCGTGTGCTCTATTGGAGCAACAGCAAAGCAGTGCTGTGCCGCTGCTCTCCACTCGACGCCAATTTTCTCTTTCTTCAACAAACTTGCTTTTAAACCATTTGCTTTCCAGGATAATTAATTTGCAAAATCTCCTCACATATATCGGCACCCACTCTCTATACACTCACTCACCCCTGGAACGGCAGTGAAATTATTGGTGCCTACAGGCAGGCTCACCCGGCTAAAACCCAGGTAAAACTGACAGGTCTGCAATTCCCTTGGGCAAACTCTCAATCTTTCTCAGCAGCGCTAGCCGGTTGTTGCGAACTCTCTCGTCTTCCTGTACATGATATACACCATCAGTAAGGAACACAGCAAGGGTAGTCATCATCAGCAACAACAGAAGTTTTTCAAGGGCATTTCAAACTCACCGCCATGACAAAGACACTATTGAAGAAATCTTCTAGGGGTTGAATCAGGAGCAGAGAAGCATCGGCAAAGGTCTTAATATCAACACCTACAGGATGGGTTGTTGGATACAGCACAGGTAATCAGACATAATGCAGAGAGGCAAGCCATTCACGACAAAAATGAAACTGAAAAACGTGTACCAGGATGGATCTTATCAGCAACCTCCAAGTAGGCGCTCCACAAAACTTTTTCTTCATCTTTCTCGAATACGCTTGGGTCAACCTACACATAAAATCAGAGTCAGGAGAGAAATACTGCACCAATAATGAGTACTCATGACTGGTGATGGGCTAGTTGAGAGTAAAAACTTCGCTGTAATTTGAACTGAACTCGTAGTTTATGATGGTATACATGTTTAAGCTAGTACCTCCAAAACAGACTCAATTTCTTTTCCACGGATGATCCTTGTTGGCCTTGAATACACTTCAACAACTTTTGGAAAAGTGTCCGTTCTTGAAAATGCTTCCATCTGCAAGTGTCCACACAACAAAAACAATAGAATACTCGGAAGAACTGTAGAATCTTTGGGGCGGATTGGTGAGGGGCACATAACATCTTACTTCAGTTGCTGTTTGTGCTGCTAGATAAGGGCAGTTTGCACGCTCCATAAGCACTGAACGGACTATCTCGCAGTTAATTCCCTCATCCACCTGATGGCAATGACAAGAATAGATGCCACTTTGAAAAAGGCAATGGATTCCATCGACCAAAAGTTTGATTACATGGAGCAAAATGAGTTTTAAATGAAATGCAGATGTATCAGTTCAAAATGTTAATCCTATTCAAATAAAGGACCAGCACAGCAGTTGGAGAAATAATGATAACCATCCAAAAAAAATTTGTTTTCCATGGTAAATGTACCGGTGTGTGTACCAGTGTATCTCTATCCCTAGCTAACACCCAAAATGAAAAATCCTAATATGTGTATATAACTCAATTGTCATTAAAGATCAAGATAATATGTACCAGAAGTTGTTCCAGTCTCCTTGTGACGAATTGTACTGCCTAAAAAGGATTTTGAAAATAAATTTGTCAGGAACCATATACTAAATGAACATAGTACATAAACATTATCTGAAATGCATACTGACCTCATCTATAACATTAGTCTCTATTTCTATGGGTTGCACCCCAGCCAATAAGGTGAGAGCTCGCCTGAGGTCAAAGCTCTTCTTGTTCTCAACCAATATTTGGACCTAGATAAAATACGTGTGAGAAAGTTTCATGTGATGATAATTGGGAAAGTTATGTGATGGTAATTGGGCTTTTTCAAACTCCCTTACCAGTCCATAAGAGACCCTTCGAAGTCCAAATGGGTCATTGGTAGAACTTGGCTGGCATCCAGCTCCAAACAATCCAACTAGGCTATCCAATCTGTGAAACAAATGAGAAAAGGGTAGCATCTTCTCTAGCTTGAATAAATTCTTGGACAAATGAAATGCAGTACTACCCGGAAAGTTGCCACAAAATTTCTGTGCGCTAACAGAATTAACAAATGAAACGCAGAAGTTATTTTTTCATGTTGAGACTGAGTGGGCTACATTTGTGTGCACAAGTACCTATCAGCAACCGCAAGGACTATACCAGCATCTGTTCTTGGAAACACATCACCCGAAGACCGAGGAAGTGTTATCTCAAATAGTGCTTCTGCAATCTTGGACATAAATATGCAATCAGCCAAAATGGACAGAATGCTAAGACAAGTTGGTACCAAATTACCACATTAAAAAAGAATCACAACCTCTTCAGGGATGCCATCTCTCAAAGCATAATGGCGTGCCATAATTCCAGCAAGTGAAGTAAATTCTGTGACAATAGAAGTGGCAAGATCTGACATAGCCAATGCAGCCGCATCTTTGATAATTGGGATCATTCTCTCATTTATTCCGAGAATAAGGGCCAATTCAGCAACAGTATTCTCAACACGTGTCATTTTATCGAGCATTGTGCCAAGTTTTTCCTATTCAATTAGGATGTAATTATTATGAAAGACAAACATTACAGAAGAAATAGCGTAAGAATTAAGGACAGTATACTTACATGAAAAAGAATGCCACTAAGCTGGCCTTGGAATTCAGAAAATTTCTTTTGTGTATCCATCTTATAAAAAAATTTGGCGTCCTCATACCTTGCCCTGCATTGTACGACAATTCAGAATCTAAAGCTGACTAAAGTAGTAAAGTCCTCTAATCAAACAAAAAATTCAGAGGGCACAGAAAGAACACTTCAATCATAATGCTGTTTAGTTGACTATGGCGATTGTTGTTCATGCAAAGAACTTGACTTTGCAATGCATGCCACAACTTGTTTATAAAATCATCATAGGGCCTTTCAATAACCTGAGAACAGCTTCATTCCCTTTGCGGACAACTTCCTCGCTAATTGCACCATTGGCAACCTAAGGGAAAAGTGAGTTAAACAAAAGGGTAAAAAGGCATTACTCAATTGTCAAATATATGATGGAGGAAAATCTCTCACAGCAATAAAATAAGGTAGCAGATCGCCTGTGGACTTGGAGATTACAGCAAAATACTTCTGGTGTTTCTGCATAACCTGTAGTTGCAATTCTGATTAAAAAAATGCAGCACATTACAAGGCATTATATTTCTAAACAAGGTTACATGTTAGTAGGCTTATAATTTTGGTCATTGAATTGTCAAGAATTGAAGAAAAAAAGTTAGCTTCTACGCATCCACAATAAAAGGCTGAACATACCGTAATCAGTACATCTTTCGGAAGTTCTAAGAAGGAATCATCATATCGACCAAGGATGGGCACAGGCGCCTCCACAAGATTGACAACCTGCATAATGTGGTTTGAAATTACACTTTTTGACAATAAAAATTAAGATAAAAAATAAAAAATGGAATAAAAGGATATCTACCTCCTGCAGCAAGCTATCAGGCGCAACAAAATCGCCACCAACACCTTCAGCCAATACAGTAGAGGCATGCAAGACTTTTTCCTTCCGCTCCTGCAGTAGAATATTTTATGAAACTTTATTACAGTAACATCTGGAGTGCTGAGCACTTGAAAAATTATGAATGAATCCATTTAGCCTTTTCCCTGCTTCATGCAGGCTACTAAAGCTGACAAAGATCAAAAGTTCAAATCCATACTTTAATGACAAATATTGCGTGAGATTGAGATTTGACGTTAAGAAACCTCCAAACAAAACATTACTTTGTTAATAAAAAAAATTAAAAATGAGTTTGTGGATCACTTAAGTGTGTATGAACAACCTATATGCACTCATCTCACCTGCATATTAATCAAAATCCCAGCTTTTTCCACACTACGTAAATATGATTCTGCAGTTTCCACCTGAAATTGGAGAAAAAATTCGGATTACTTCCATGGTACATATGATGAGCTGGTAGTATGCTGCTTTAGTTATTTTATTTATGTACAATACAAGAGAAAGGGGAGATGTCAGAAAAGAATCTTTTATGTATTGTTTGCTGAAATACAATGTATAATATCATAAAAGTTTAGTACTTTAGTTTATGCAGCAACATTCTTACTCAAGACAACCATCAAGATAGAAGTAACAAAAGAAGCAAAATAGATGAAATATACAAACAAGCAATCCAATTAGTACCTTAAAATTAGCCAAAGAAGAGTTACGAAGGCCACATGACTGATTCCCACTGCCAATGCAAACCTTGTTTGTTAATTGATAGAAACAAGAATGCTCAAAATTTATGACAAAACAAGATCGAGAACTAATACAAAATGTAGTACCTTGAGATACCAGCAAAATAAAATGGCACAACAAAATCGCCATGAAGTGCCAGGATCCAGCGTATTGGACGACTAAAAACAATCTGCGAGTGAAATAATCTAGAGTGAGTGGCATGCACATTGATCTTGTAATGGGATCTGTAAAGCCCATTGCCCAAATTAAAGAAGTAAGGGCGTGTTTGGCATGGCTCCAACTCTGGGTGGAGCTGCTCCACTCCAGAACTCCAGGTGGAGCCAGCTCTGGGTGGAGTTGGAACTGTCTGATGGAGGTGTTTGGCTGGGAGGGTACCTTCAGCTCCAAAAAGACAACTTTTAGGATGAATTGCCATTGTTACCCCCAACTCACGTCCTGACATGTCAGCCTCTCCACCCTATCTTCTTCTTCATCAGAATGCCGGTTGCGCTTGAACCCGGTGGAGCTTCGCACGAGATGTGGCGGTGCTGGCCGGTTGAGAGCAGGACGGGGCTGTGGCGGCGCGGGTCAGCGACGGCTGGGATGAGAGCAGGACGGGGCTGTGGCGGCGCGGGTCAGCGGCAGCCGGCACGGGCCGCACCTCGCTCCCAGCGGCTGCAGGTGACCAAGCGGCGGCGCACGGCTGGATCTCGAGGCCAGTGCTTGGCCGTCGCGGGCGTTGGGCCAAGCCGCTCCGCCCGGCCGCGTCTTGCCCCTTCGCCGTCCGCACCGCACACTCGCGGAAGGATAGAAGCAACCTACGCGGGGCGGGGCAGGCGGCCTGGTTGGAGGCTGCACGACGGGTTCCACGACGGTCGGGCTGGCGGCGCCGCCCTACTGTGGATTGGAGCCCCCAGGGTGGAGGATGACGGGGAGGTGGGAGCAGTGGCGGATGGTGGAGTGAGAATAGGCCGGCCGGCACGCACGACGGCGGCGGCATCGCATGGGACGGCACAGGCTGCGGCACAGACGGGGAAGGTTGGGGTGGCGGCGGGGATGCGCCCTCTGGCCGTCGGGGGAGTGTGAATGGTGGCAGGTCGGCAGTGGCAGGATGAGGCAGGGGTTGCGTCGGGAAGGAGACGGAGAATAGAAAGAACGAACCGTTTTCTGTGTAACTAGTGGCATGGGTGGGTAATTACCCACCAACTCCACGAGAAGGTTCATATTGGATGGTTTTGGAGTTGCAAAAGAGGTGCTCCAAAACTCCACCCCCATTTGCACTACAGCTCCATGGAGTTGGCAGCTTCGTGGAGTTTTAGAGCTGGGATGTTTGGCTGGAAAATTGGCTGGAGTTGCTGGAGTTCAGCTCCAGAGCCATGCCAAACACGCCCTAACTATTGTCCTCACCACAGAAAAGCAAAGAAGTACCTATAGTTGAGAATTTATCCAAGATTAACCAAAGGTACATAATTATGAAGAAGCATTCATTCTGTATATTACCCTTTTATCTATGTATTATTTTCAGGAAGGGTCCCCCCCTAGGTGAAACAACAGAAGAGAACTAGCTACAGCTAAGTTATGAGTTCTGTTCATACAAGTACTCTAACACATATGTAATCAGTTTAATTTGAAACTATAGTGGCATTAGATCATTTGATAGATGACTAGGATTCCTCGAACATAATAGCACATTGGCAGCATAAAGGCCATTCAGGGTACACATACATTGGAGTTCCAGCGCATCGACTTGGGAAATGAAATACCAGAAACAATAGTAGGTATATCTTCAGCTAGGGCCTGCAGTTGACATGCTACAATTAAAGGACAGAAGCAGAGAGATACACACTGCAAATAGAAAAGAATATGCGAAGCCACACATGTCGAGTCAGGTACTGGAAGACACGGACTCTGAACACAGTACTTAATAATTAAGTAATTAATTATTGCTAAGCATCGATAGCTTCTTGTATTATTAATTCTTCGTGTTAGGGCGCCAGTCGCTGCCTTTTTTTTTCTCGAAAACGCACGAGAGCTGCGCATCATTATATTAAGAAGATAATAAAATGGGATAAGAACCCATACAACACAACACACACAAAAACCTCACACAACTCTACACACACACACTACACTGCTGCTGCTAGAAAACTAACACGCCCGTGACATAAAGATCATAACCAAGGTAGACAGGGCTCTAACCACCCGGAGCGAGGGCATCCAAGAGGGATAATCCTCGAGCCCCCGCCAAAGACCACGACCTTTCATCTTCAGCTACAGCAAGTGCGCCTACAACATTTGGGGCTGCTCCATCAAAGACGCATTTGTTGCGGTGTGTCCATAAGGTCCAAGCTCCAAAGATTATGAGAGAGTTGGTTCCCTTCCTTAACGTATCACTAGCAGCATTGCTCACTTTCTCCCACAAAAAATGGAAGGATGTTTCTGTCGGTTGCGGGGAAAAGGCTTGGAGTCCAATCCGAGAAAAGAAGCGGAACCAAAACTCTCTTGCAAAGACACACTGAACTAAGAGGTGATCAATAGTTTCCGCAGCCTGGTCACACAAAGGACAGCGCTCAGGATGAAGGAGCCCACGGCGAGCAAGAAGATCCGCAGTCCAACATTGATTGTGAGCTACCAAACAAACAAAGAAGCGGCATTTGGGCGGTGCCCAAGTCTTCCAAATTCTCTCATAAGGCTCAAAAGATGTAGTCCCCACAAAAAATCCCTTGTATGCAGTCTTGGCCGAATATTGCCCATTTGATGAAAACTGCCAAATATGTCTATCTTCAACATCAGGTTGCAAAAAGAAATCAGATAGGACATCCCATAGGTGGTGATAATCAATAATTAAACCTACTGTGGTGGCCCCTTCTATGTCAGAAATCCAAGACTGGTTGGTGAGGGCATCCTGGACAGTTCGTTGTTTGATCCTCCTTTTAGGAATGATGGCGAAAAGACGGGGCGCAAGATCTGCGATACAATGTCCATGGAGCCAACGGTCTGTCCAAAAAAGGGTTTTTGTTCCATCTCCTACTTCGGAATAAACAACCACTTTGAAGAAGGCTCTGACTTGCTCTGGGACATGGATTGGAAGATTAGCCCATGGGCGATGCAGCTCTGTTTTTTGTAACCAGGCCCATCTCATTTGCAGTGCCCAGCCCAGAGATTTAAGATATGAAATTCCTAAACCTCCAAGTTCTTCAGGGAGACATACCTTAACCCAAGCAACGAGACAGTGCCCTCCTTTTGCATCTCTGCGGCCTCTCCAAAGGAACCCACGCCGAATTTTATCCACTTCTCTAATAGCCCAAGGTGGGAAATCAAAAGCCATAACTTAGATAAATGAGCATACCAGTGAGCACAAACTGAACTTGAACCTTTCTTCCGACCTTGGTCATCAATCCGTTTTCCAGCCAGGAAGCTGATCAGCAATGCGGTCAATAATGGGCTGAATTTGTTCCTTGGTGAGCTTCTTCAGAGAGAGAGGCAATCCCAAATATTTGCATGGGAAGTCTGTGAATGCACAGGGCAGCAGGTTTTGCACTGTTGCAAGCTCCACATCACCACATCTGATGGGCAACACATTGCTCTTTTGTAAGTTTGTCTTGAGCCCCGTTGCTTCTCCGATCAAATTGAGGATACCCAAAGTTACATCAATGTCCCCAGCTTCTGGACGGAGGAACAAAACCACATCATCCGCATAAATAGATATTCTGTGCTGTAAGCTGCGCCTAGACAGTGGCTGCAACCAGCCATCATTCTCGGCCTTCGAAATCATGTGCCCCAATACATCCATAACCAAGATAAACAACATTGGGGAGAGGGGGTCACCTTGCCGCAGCCCTCGTCGATGAGCAATATGATCACCTGGGATCCCATTTAGCAAGACTTGAGTTGACGAAGAGGATAGCAGCCCACTGATTATATCCCGCCAAATCTGTCCAAAACCGAGCTGCTGCAAGATCTCAAGTAGGAAGGGTCAGGACACAGAATCAAATGCCTTCGAAATGTCCAACTTGAGTAGAATTCGGGGCTGCTTTTGCTGACGTAGGAACCTCGCTGTCTGCTGAACCAACATGAAATTATCTTGTATAAAACGCCCTTTTATGAAGGCGCCTTGGTAAAAAAGGGCGTACCCAGTGCAGAGAGCTCCCGCTCTATGCGGGGTCTGGGGAAGGGTGTCAGTGGCAACTCGAACCCGGGACTTTCTGGTCACAGGCAGTAAGACTCTACCGCTTGCACCAGGCCCGCTTTGGTAAGGAGAAACAATCTGTTGCAGCCGGTGCAAGGCGATTAGTAAGCAGCTTTGTGATTAGTTTAGCGAAACTATGGACCAAGCTTATGGGCCTGAAATCCTTGGGCTGTTCCGCACCTTCTTTTTTGGGGAGGAGGGTGATATAGGCCGAATTGAGAGTTCCAAAATTCACCATCTTCCTGCTCCATACTGCCGAGATTGCCACCATAATGTCTTCTTTTATAATAGCCCAGCAGGATTTATAGAAACGACCTGTGTACCCGTCCGGCCCAGGGGCTTTATCTGAAGGTAGCTGCTGGATTGTCCTCCACACCTCATCTTCAGTGAAGGGAAGTTCAAGCTCCGACATATCTTGTGCATTAATTCCCAAATCAGCCAAGTTGATCGTGTGCTCCCTTATTGTACAGGTTCCCAGCAGATTATCATAAAAGTCATCAATGACTGCAGCCTTGTCCTCATGGCTGGTGCAAACCCGTTCTCCCGCAATAAGCTTCCCAATAAAATTCTTCCTTTTTCGGTGCCGGGCGTGCATATGGAAGAGTCTTGTATTAGCATCACCATCTTTGAGCCAACTGATCCTTGAGCGTAAGCGAGCCATTGTACGCTTGAGGGATGCTAGGGCCAAGCTGTGCTTCTTCAAATTGTTCTTGAGCCATAACTCTCCAGGAGAAAGCTGTCGGTTGTCTTGAGCGATCTCGAACTGATGCAAAATTTCTCTTGCCAAGGCAAGCTGAAAGCTAACTTGGCCCACCGCCTTATCACTCCAACTCTGCAGGCCCCTGGTAACAGCTTTAAACTTCTTGTTTAGAGTTATAAAAGGGCATTGGCCAGCAGGGGTTGAAGCCCACGCTGAACCCATCGAGTTTGGTCCAAAAGGACTCAAAAGTGAAATATGGGTCGTCCTGGTCTATTATCTTGGAGGCCCAGCAGAAGAGGGCAATGATCAGAATCATCTGAAGCCATACTCTGAAGCAAGGAGTTGGGAAATTTCTCCTCCCAGTCGACTGAGCATAGCACTCGATCCAATTTTACCAAGGTTGGAGAGTTTTGCTGGTTTGACCACGTGTACTTGCGACCATGCAGGGGTATCTCTTTGAGAGCCAAATCATTGATGAACCTTCTGAAACGACCCTCATTGCCCTATCATAATTAGCATTATTCTTGTCCTCATCTCTCAGTAGATTAGATTAAAATCCCCAACCACCACCCATGGTCCCGGACATGCCGCATTTATATCCCTTAAACTCCGCAGAAACTGAATTTTGTCGTCATTGCCTTGGGCTCCATACACACCACCGTCAACCACCATGACCGCCCATTTTCTCAGAGAGAGAACTGAATCACATGTTGTGGTTGTCAACCCGCCGAGCTAGAGAAACTCCAATATGTTGTCTCCAAGCGAGCAAGATTCTCCACCGGCTCCAACAGAGCAACAATGAAGTCGAGAGAAATCCGAGCCTAGACTAGAGAGAATAATTCTGCGAGACATATCTGTGACTTTGGTTTCTGAATACACAAAATGTCCGACCGAGAGGAATCCACAATAGAGCGTCTTTGAGTCTTGCACGGAGGTAGAATTTAGACCCCTAACATTCCAAATTAAAATTTTTGCAGATCCATAAAACACATTTGAAGCCGACCAAACATATAATGAAAAGCTATCCCAACATTTCATTTGTCAACCCCTTGGCCAAAGTCCTCGTGCAAGGACCACTTGAACAGAGCGAGACAGCTTGCCGGAGGTGTGAATCGACAGAGGATGTCTAAACAACTTGGCGTAATCATCCTAAACTTGTTGGTCAATACCTTCATTTTCGCTGAGGATGTCCAGCGATCGCATTGCCTTCTTGTCAGTCGCTGAATTCTTACTCTTGGTAGTAGCAGAATTCTTACTCTCATCGAGAGAGGATGACACTGGGAGTTAGGGCAATTTTCTGGTTTATTTCTCACACAAATGTCATACCAACCTGAGGGGTTGGGGATACATATTTATAGGCTGCTAGCCAGCCAAGCATATGCCAAGATGCTAGATGCTAAGATGTTGTCCTAGATGCTAAGATGCTGTCCTAGCTAGTCAAGGATGCTGTCCTTGATGGGCAGCAAGACCATCATGCAGCCACAAGGACCATATGCTGCAGCCCCACAAAGACCAGCCAACACAGAGACTTATCCATCATTCTCCCCCTAAGTCTTGTGCGTCGTCTTGTGGAAAAGTTGAACCATCTCGGTCCTGGAGCAGAGCTCAAGGAACTTGATCCTCCCAAGAGGCTTGGTAAACAGGTCCGCAAGCTGGTCCTTGATGTTGATGTAGCTCACCTTGATGCTCCCTTCCTCCAAACAGCCTCGGATGAAGCGGTACCTCACCCCGATGTGCTTACTCCGTTCATGGAAAACGGGTTCTTTGCCGGGCATGGCGGACTTGTTGTCCATCCCGAGCTCCACCACTCTAGTGTCTCTGCCGAGGAGATCACCAAGCGATCGAGCGAGCCAGAAGCGCTGAGTCGAAGCGGTGGAGGCCGCTATGTACTTGGCCTCGCACCGGACA